TTTATCCTCTGTCCCGAAGCCAAACAGTATGTGTCCAGTAGGTTTGATACCGCTACTGCCCCCTCGTTCCCTGACTTAAAAAGCAGCATGTTGTCATCGGCGAAGAGAAGGTGGTTCACGGCGGGAGCCGTAGGTGCCACCTTTAATCCTACAATATTGGATGACGAAGAACTGGTTTTCAGGAGACACAAAAGGCCCTCTGCTGCAATTAAGAAAAGGTAAGGGGATATCGGATCTCCCTGCATTATACCTCTGCTTGGTATAAACTGATCAAGCTTTTCTCCATTAAACAGAACTGAAAAGGAGACAGACCGCACCATGCCCATGACAGTTTTTATCCAGGGGACGGCAAACCCTAGCTTTCCCATTATGGCCTCCAAATAGTCCCACTCCAACCTGTCATATGCTTTCATCATATCAAGCTTAAGAGCACAATAACTGTTAGCCTTCGCCTTACTGCGTTCCATGAAATGAAGACACTCGTAAGCACTTATAATATTATCTGTTATGAGCCTGCCTGGGACAAACGCCGACTGCTCCTCAGATATGATGTCCGGAAGAATTTGCTTCAGCCTATTTGCAATGACCTTGGAAGCAATTTTGTATAGGACATTGCATAGGCTAATAGGCCTAAATTGTGACAAGATGCTAGGGTTTGTTACCTTGGAAATCAGAACGAGGATGGTGTCATTTATGCTCTCCAGAGTTTCTTCCCCTCTCACAATCCTCAAAACAGCTTCTGTCACCTCTGCACCACACAACTCCCAGTGTCTTTGATAGAAGTGTGCCGGAAAACCGTCGGGGCCGGGCGCCTTTATTGGGAACATTTGAAACAAGGCTGCCTTAACCTCCTCATTTGAGTAGGGGGCACACAGAATGTCATTCATCTCTGCTGACACTTTAGTTAGGACGCAACTTAAAACTCTCTCCATATTGCTCACCCCCTCCGATGTATAGAGAGTCTTATAGAAGTCATTTACCATCGCCTTCAACTCCTCCGGATCATCTGTAATTACCCCCAGCGAGTTTTGTAAAGCCTTGACCATATTCTTCTTTCGACGGATACTTGCCCTTAAGTGAAAAAATTTGGTGTTCCTGTCACCCGATGTGAGCCACTCCACCCTTGATCTCTGCCTCCACATAATTTCCTCCCTGTGGTATAGCTCAACAAGTTTCTCGTTGATTTTGAGCTCAACATGTGCTGGCGCAGTACGGTTGGCATCCGATCTGAGCTTCTCAAGCTCCCCCTTAAGCTGTTTGATCTCCTTGCGGACACTCCCGAAAGTGTCTCTGTTCCATCGGCCCAAGTCCTGTGACACCGCTGAGAGTTTCGCTCTGAGCTCTTCTACCTTAGCAGTGGCTCCGTGTGTGGCCCATGCCTCGGTAATCTTACTGCTCCAAGAGTCATGCCCCTCCCACATGACCTCATATTTAAAAGAACCAGAACTCTGACTCCTCCTCTGGTCTATGTTCGTCCTTGCTAGTATCGGGCTGTGATCTGATGTGGCAGCCACCAGATGTGTTAGATCAGCCAAAGGGAAGCATGCGTGCCACTCAGCCGACACCAAGGCTCTGTCGAGGCGCACCCTTGTGAAAGTACCTCCAGTCACCTTCTTTTCAAATGTCCATGGTATACCAGAATAGCCAATATCCAGCAGCATGCAAACATCAACGGCATCTCGAAAGGCTTGTATCTGCGCATTGCTACGTTGCCCGACTCCCACGTGCTCATCCGGACGTAACACTTCATTAAAATCACCAACGCAGAGCCACGGGAGACTGCTCAGAGTACTGATGTTTTTCAAAGTGTCCCATGTCTTGTACCTCAGGTGGGTTTGAGCTTCGCCGTATACTACGGTTAATCTCCAAGGTTCATCGCCCGGTTCTAGGACCGAGCAATCAAGATGATAATCCGAATAACCCAAAATCTCAATATTTATTGCATTATTCCAAAACAAACCAATTCCTCCACTTCTACCACGACTGCTAACAGCATAACCATTATCGTAACCAAGTGTTCCTGCTAAAGCTTCTACCCTAGAGCCTTCCAACTGGGTTTCTACTATACATAACAGGGTAGGGGCAAATTTCCTCGCGAAATCGTGAAGTTCACGAACCGTCGCGGCTTTGCCCACGCCACGACAGTTCCAGCAAAGAACACTCATTGGGCTCGGCGGTGCCCGTCACTCGGGCCCGCCAACTTTGGATCTATCTTGCTTAGCAACATGGACTTCACCGCTGAAACTTTCTCCGTCTCTGTCCCCACCTTTGCTCTCTTTGTTTCCTGTGTAGAACTCGGGCTTGATGGTAGCATTGGGGGAGGCAGTGCAAGCATCTTCCCTTTTAACCCCGCCTGGGAATGTTCAGAGTCCTTCGGGATCGTATCCGGTCCCCGATTCACGGGTGGCTCGGACGCCCTCTTCCTGACCCTTTCAGCATCCAGCATCTCCAAATCCTGCTCATAGTATTCAGCTTCGGCCCCATCATGTTGAGAGCTTGAGCCCCCGCTTCTTCCAGTTCGTCCTCCTCTGCGGCCCCCCTGCGTCCACGGCCACCTCCGGGACCGCTGCCGTTCCTCATGAACCAATTTGCCCTGAGCTCCTTAAAGACAAGAGCCGATGGAGGGTGAATGCCTGTACCGTGTTCCTTGTAGAGATGGCCTAGCATGCCGCATACCGCACACCAATCCGATAGCTTTTCATATTTGACCTTGTAGATTTGCCTCTCGCCTCCCTTGATCATAGATACGGCGTTCTTGAGCGGCTTGTTAACGTTTATCTTGACCCACACACGGTAGAAATTTCCCGTGAAATCGTGCGATTGGGTTTCAGTGAAGAGGACCTCTCCCACCTTGGCTGCCAGGGAAGGAACTAGGTGGGCGTAGAGAAGCGATACATCATGAATCTGGATCCATATCTCGATTGAGTCCAACCTGACAGTCGATGGCTTTGTCACCCCATCATATTCCTTGAGAATTACTGCATCACCTCGGAAGTGCCACGCTCCCTCGTGCATGACCCTCTCCCAATCCCCTAGACAGGAAAATTGGATAGTGTAGAGGTTCTCCTCCAATGGCTTGAACTTGGCTTCTTGTGCAAGATCCCATGCCGCTCTCATGTTCTTAAAGAACCAAAACTGACTATAGGGTTTATCGGAATTAACCCTAGCGATAGCAATCCACCTAGCCGCCTCCTGCAGGACATCTTTCTCATCGAAGATCACGTCCTCCAACTCGTCCTCCTTCAGCCCTAGCTCCTCCATCAACCTTGCGACGTCGCTGATCCCTTCCGGAAGCGGGGATCCATCTGCCGCCATGTCGAAACCCTAACCCGAGTTTAAAGTCCGGGTCTCTGCAGTCGCCCTATGCCCTCAATCCTTCAGAAACAGCCAAGGCCCCCGACCAGGAGACGCCGAGGGGCCCCCCGCGGTCCAGGAGAAGTAGCTGCGGAGGGGTCGCGGGCGGGGAAGATCAAGACTCGACGACGGCGAGAGTCGCCCCTCGAGAAAGCAAAACCCTAACTAGAGGGAAAAAAGAGATCCACACCTTTCCGTTTTGGAAACAAGGAGCAGGTGGAAGCGTGCTTCGCGCTTTCGAGCCTTCGAGGTTAAGCAACTTGTGCGGGCTTCTCTTCCCAGCTCTGCTCCCGCTCCCGGCCGTCCGGAGTAGTAACAATTTTCAATTTTTCACATACACGAAAATTAAGCTTGAGCTTTGTGCACAAGATTGCAGAAATCGTATTGATGGTGACGCATCATAACAGTAGTTGCCTCTTACCGGACGTGGTGTTTCTTGGGTGAACAGTAATAAAATCCAAAAAAATATCTGATTTTATTTGGTGCAAACATTGACAAAAGTTCTCGGTGCTCATAAAATTTCATCACGAAATAACATTTGTGAAAGCTGTAGAAAAAAACCATAATTGATGCTCCAAAAGTGTTGTTTTCGAAAATATTTTGGAGTGCTGATTTTGTTTTTTTTTTTACCACCACTTCTACGAATGTCATTTCGTGATGAAATTTTGCAAGCGCTGAGAACTTTTTTCAATGTTTGCACTTAAAAAAATTCAGAATTTTTGGAAATTTTTTCTATTTTCTTTTAATTTTACTGTTCATCATTTTGCCTCTTACCACATACAGTATGCCTCAAGATGGTGTTTTTTGCTTAACCGAGTGGAAGGAAGACTAGAGCACATTCCAGAAAACATCAAAGGAGGCCAATAACCGAGACTGACTTTATTTCGCACAGCTCGAAATACGCTTTTCTGTGTTATATAAAGCAGGCCCCAATCACATTGCCTTTGCTCCAAATTTTCAAGGGCGGAAAAGGAGCCAAGACAATGGCAGGCCGGGCTCGCATCCACTCTCCAAAAGCTTCTTCTTTTTCCCTTCCCTCTGTATTTTGCATCAGCGTAGCCTACTTTTACCTCCATTATTACTTCGTCCTTCCCTTTTGCTTTCCCGTTTGGACACCACTCGCTCGGCTTCTTCTCTTCTCCTCTCCCCTCCTCCCGGTGCGTTCGTTTGTGATTGGTCGGAATCAATGGCCACTCCTACTCCATACCACCTCCTGTCTCCAAGAGCCATCGTCACCAAGATCATCAGCATGAAGCGGCAGGAGCCGGAGCCGCCGCCGCCCAAGATCATCCTGCAGCCGCGGCACCGGACCAGCCCCGCGATGTGGTGCGCTGCCATCGTCTGCTTCGCCTTCAGCGTCCTCTTCATCCTCGCCGGCCTGGTGATCCTCACCGTCTACCTGGCGGTGAAGCCGAGGACGCTGTCCTTCGACGTCGCCAATGCCGCCCTCCACAGCACCTATGTCGGCTCGCCTCCTCCCTACTTCAACGGCGACATGACGCTGACGGCCAACATCTCCAACCCCAACCACAAGATCGGCGTCGTGATCCAGTCCGGCGCCATCGAGCTCTTCTTCCGGGGCAGGCTGGTGGCAGCGCAGGCGCTGCCGCCGTTCGCGCAGCGTGTTCACAGTTCTCAACGTCCACATGCTGTCTAGCCAGGTGGCCTTGGAGATGCTGAACCAGATGAAGAGCAACAAGATCCTCTACACCATCAGAGGGACCTTCAAGGTCCGGGAAAGGTTATGGTCTTGGCACTACACCTACCGGATGACTGCCATTTGTGACCTGGAGCTCACCGCGCCTCCCTCTGGATTTCTCGTAGATAGGAGATGCACAACATCAACGTGATTGGTATCTGGATGCTCTTTTGATCTTTTTTTCTTGTATATCAAATTTCAGAGGATGTATAGCAGTACGAACTATTTTGGATGTATTTTTTTTATGTAAAGTAAAACCCAAGTAAAGCATTCACAGCAATCTAAAATTATCACACGATTTCCTCTGTTTATGTCTGAAAACCAAACAAACAAGGGCCTGGAAACATCTACTGGTACCATATTTAGGTAGGTTATAATAGCTGAAGAAGAAAATCATTGGACACATTTATCTGTAATAACAGTTAGGGTAACAAAAACAATCTGTGAAAGCGATGCTGCCCCCTGGTTTCTAAAACCAATTTCCATCACAACTACTTTTCTCATGACTATACTAGAAACAGAAACAAAACAAATACTCTGCAAAACTCAAGATTGAATGCGTTCCCTTAGTAATTCATTGTACCAGAAATGTAATTATTCATAAGGACCCCTCCAAGATCATATTTATTATAGTCCTTGTCTAAGCACAACTCATTCCAGCTCTCTGTCTTAGCAGACGAGAAGAATATACTACTCTCATAAGATATTGAATCTCAACAAACAATCTCAAGCTTAAGCTACAATACCCTGCACCCTGTAGTGCTTCCAAGTGCCAGACCAAATAGTAGTTAGCACACTATTCATACATAGGATAGAAGAAACACCTTCGGCCTTCCAGCCTGCCTGATTCATGGCATCCTGAGTGATTTTGCTATTCCAGTTAATTTTTCATCTTTCTGTTAGAACTTTGGTATCATCAGTTTTTTTAAGGAAGCTCTTTGGTATCAGCATGTTTGTTCCCACAGTATATGTATTGGCTGTGATTTTGCTATTCGGTTTTCTTTCATCGTTCTGTCAGAGAATTTGTATCAGCTGGTTTGTTCCAAGTATGTGCTGGCTGTACTTTCATGGTCTGTAATTCTGTATGCATCGTGGATGGGGAGCTAGCGCTTCTTTTGTGGGTGTATCAGGCTTGATATGCTTGCAAAGATTCAGTAAGAGGCTTCCATGTCAAAGAAAGAACTGTCTGATTGATCAAAATATGCCACAAAATGAAGGGCACAGAACATGAATACATAGAAGATTGATCATGGATGCAGAAGCCGGGAGCTAGAATTAATTTTTTTGTGGGCGCATCAGCTTGATATGTTCGCAAAGATTCAATAGAAGAACTCCATATCACAAAAGGAACTGTCCGATTAATCAGAACTGCGCAGAACATGAATAGATCACAGGTAGTATTTAGGAATATGAAACTTTTATTAATCTCAAGTGTTTTACTCTAAACTTTCTGATGAAACAGTACAGCACTCACACACGGACCCATCGAAATCGAGTCCTGAAATTGTTGGTCCATCTAAAACAGGAACAGCACTAGAAAATACTACCAGCCCCTTGGTATCTTCGAGCAACAAGAGCATGAATAATCCATCCAAGAACTAGCTTAATTTTGAAGGGGCGCTTGTGACTTGTGAGAGAGCTCGGTGGGGGATCCTAGAACGCACCTCGCAGGCGCAGGCTTGACCCGGCGGTGGACCGCGGCAGCAGCAGGTCGTTGCAGTCGAAGCCGCAGCCGCAGGTGGGGCTCTCGAGGAAGTTGTCGAGGCCGAAGTCGGCGGAGGCGATGCCGACGGAGAAGCCGAGCTGGTCGCCGCTGCGGGTGACCTCGACGATGTTGAGCCAGAAGAAGAGGACCTTGACGGTGACGCCCTGGAGGTTGGTGAGGCGGTCGACGGAGATGCGGCCGCTGATGTCGGGCTTGTAGCGGAGCGAGTAGGAGCCCTGGATGGAGAACTCGCAGGTGGAGGAGGAGTTGATGTGCGCCGTGAAGTCGCCGGTGGCGTTGTCGAGGGTGTAGGAGACGACCCCCTTGGGGATGATGCCCGGGGGGAAGTCGAAGGCCGCCAGCGCCTCGTAGGCCGTCGGCTTCGCGGCGGCGGGGCCGGCGACGGCGAGCAGGAGGAGGAGGGGAAGCATCGCGGATTTCATTCTCCTTTTTCTTGTTTCTTCAGCGGTGGCTTCGGGGGTAGCTTGCTTGAGGTCGTTGGGAGGAGATCTGGGGATGCGCCGGTGTTAAAGACAGCGGGTCCACATGCTAGCTAATCTGACAGTGCACCCTGCTAACAAAAAATGAAATAGTCGAAAGAAAATTTTGTCTTTGGTTGAGACTTTTTTTTTGTCTTTTCTATGATATGATGTGTAAAAACACTCATTTTTTTAGAATAAAACACTTCTCTTTCTATGGTGCACCTGTGCTCACTCTCCTATTTTTTACACACACAAAATACATATCTTTCCCTCGCAAAAAATATAAATACATATCTTGCCTTTTAGGATATTCGTTCACAAAAATAGGATTTTCTTCCTAAGTACAAACGCACACAAATCCAGACCAAGAATTGGTAAGGCAAAAGCAGATCAAACGTGGTCGTGTTAGTTTTTGATTGCTTTCGGAGGTAGCGAACCGCAGTTTTCTTATGTTTTAGCTCTTCAACTGATGGAAAGTTCAATATCCCCATCCCCTCCAACCCCGACTCTTAAAACGAGCATGGCAACCGTTCGTGAATGTGCCCATAGTGATACGGAAGCCGGCTATCCAATCATGTTCGCATAATTTTTAAACTGGATTTGAACAAACAAGATGGTTTTCATCTAAACCGGACGAAAATTCACGACATATTTTAACTAAATTATAGTGGGTTAGACTATTCTAACCTAATCTAAATGATCGCCGGCCGTGGCGGCGCCCGTTTCCCACGAGAACATGCTCATCCACCGGCCATGAGCCCCCGTAAGTGAAGCTTCAGTGGGAGTGAAAGAGTAGTGACCTCCGTGAAGCTCGGGCAAGCTCATCGGCTGGGAGGCCCGACAAGATGTTGGCGGTGGCATTCCTGGGACCCCGGCGGCGACGTGTGGCCTCCCATGTTCTATCCTTCTACTCTATCAACGACGGCGGATGTGGACGTGACAACCTCGTTGTCGTGGCGGTGAGACGCGAACGGCCGTGGTGACGCGATCGATGCGGAGCTAGCGGCATCCTCAGTCTTGTCCTCAAATTCCTCCGTCGTCATCTCGATGTCCAGGAGCAAGGCATCTCTCTCCACCCTATCGATTGACTTGTTTTTTTTTCTGCACATGTCAAAATGATTAATCTTTCCTCCGAATAGTTTGCAAATAGCATTTAAGTGTGACACTAAACCCTTTTTCTCTTCTTTTTTTACATTTGCAAAAAAAAATTGATGCATAGGAGCATATACTCCCAAGAGCCAAATTGGATTTCTGAAATAAAACATGTAATTTCATTAATGAAGCACAACCACATGCAAAGCTGGAAATTTACTCTCATGTTTGGCCACATGAATATAACTGCATATATCGCATACCATAACCCATATCTTTAATGGGCCAATGAATAGAGTACTCCCTCCGTCTCAGTTTATAAGTCATGTGCGTATACTTAGGTTGTCAATTTTATCACCACAATATAAACTACTCCCTCCGTTCGGAATTACTTGTCTCGGAAATGGATGTATCTAGAACTAAAATACATCTAGATACATCCATTTCTGCGACAAGTAATTCCGAACAGAGGGAATACATAATATAGAAATTATACCGTTTGAAAATAGAACATCTGAAGTTTATATCGGTATATCTTTTTGTAATATATGACTTGTATTAGGTTGATTAAATTGACGATCTAAAGGAACGCACACGTCTTGTAAACTGAGAGAGAGAGAATACCATAGAGAAAGAAAGGTTATAGGGATTCCACTAGAAATCTAGATTTTCTTTTAACATTTCCAATCAAGTAAATAAATATGGTTACACCTACCATATTTCTTGACGTCCACCGACGCAGAGCACTGCCCTTTCTGTCTCTCGCCGGAAACAAAAAGGGTAGTGCTCTAGCTGGTCGACTAGCCAGACTTTGTGCTTTTTTTTGACATTCAACACCTCCTTTATTAATTAGCTACAATAGTAGCATCAGAAACAATCAGGGGGATAACCGCCCCCGGGGCTGTATCCAGCCAAACACCAGGAGAATTGAATTTAACTACTCTAGTTAACTCATGAGCTACTTTATTGGTATCTCTACAGCAGTGTTCAAAGATGATATGAGTAAAATCTAAGGACATAAAAAAACAGTCATCAAAGATGGCACTGGCAACCGAAGAAGAACTCCCTTCCTTAAGCGCGTTGATGACCTCAAGACTATCCGAATTTAACTCGATCTTGTTGCATCCAGCGGCACGGGCTAGATTCAAGCCAAACCTTACTGCAATTGCTTCTGCGGTAATTGCATCATAGCATATGTTCAGTTTTTCATTGGCTGCTGCCACGAAATTACCATTGTGGTCTCTAATGATAGCCCCCACAGATCCCTCCAGCGAATCATGGTCGAACCCCGCATCCACATTCAGCTTGACGTACCCATTCCTCGGCCTCATCCAGCCAGCCCGTCGGATCTTTGGTTTTGGAGAATAAGCATTAATATAGTTAGCAGCAAGTGATCTCACCGCTACACTGATCTATGAAGCATTAAGCTTTACTCCTCCGTGTGTTAGCTTTCTTCTTTCCCACCACAAAAACCAGCAGCACGTGGCAATTGTTTCTCTGAATTTGGGGAGTCCCAACACATGGATATGATTATCTGGAAGATTGAGAAGGAATTCTAAAGTTACTTCCCCAGATCTGTCCAAAACCAGGGCTTTAATGGTTACCTCATGCAATCCAAGCAGCTTCCAAACCTCGGTGGCGACTGGGCACTCAAACAACAAGTGTCGAATGGTCTCAGGGCCTAGGTTGCAAGAAGGACAATGGGCTTTTATCTTGATATGTCTATCCGCCAATAACGCCCGGCATGGAATAGCGCTGTGGGTCACTCTCCAAACAAAAATTTTAATTTTTGCAGGACAATTCAGTCCCCAAAGAGATTTCCAAGTGGGTTTAGGCGTTGATGAGCTACAGCCAGCCTGCAGATGGTGACCA